ATAAAAATATCAATTTAAAGAGAAACTGAATTTCGATTAATAAATAGTAAATTAAATCAATAACAAAAAAAATATATATAAACAGAAATGTTGAAGCTACATACAAGTATGTATGTATATGTAAAAGCGAACACACTTGTAATGCGGTAAATATTACGAGTTAAAGTTTTGCGGCAATAAAAACATACACACACAGCACATAATGTATGAATACATTATACATATGTATGTGTAGTTATGTTTTCAAAGCATAATTAATTTATATTAATAAAGCTACATATTTAAAACGAAGATAAAACCAAACAGTTGTAATTATAATATTAACATATAATATTATGAACTACGTACATACATATATAAATATTTATACATATGTATGTACTTATGTATATTTATGTGAACATGCATACAAACATTCATAACCTAAAATACAAGAGTAAATACTTACATACCACATACATACATACATATACATATATGCATGCGTATGCACACATACATACATTCAACTATATACATAAATATATTATATGTATCGTTTAAGCAAAGTAATTTTACAAAACAAAAAAATATTATTTAAACTAATTATTAGTATTTATGCAGATTTGCATACGCGTACAATAGCATACATGCATGCATGCATACATACATATATACATACAAACATATAATAGCGTGAAACCAGCTGCAAACAAATAACAACAAACAAAACATTAATTACTGCATACATACATACATAAATGATATTAAAGTAATTAAGTTCAACTAAAAGAAAATTTAAACATTTAAATTACTTATAAATAAATAAAAATAAGAAAATCTTACAAAAATACATATAAAATACACCATTTGTTTTATTTCAAAGCAGGAATATTATTTTAAAACACAGACAAAAGTTAACTTCGGTTGCACCGAAGCTGCCATACCCTACACAGGTTCATTTCATATACATAATGGGTGACCCATTTCGAGGTTCCCTACTTTTTTAAAAAAAAAAGACCACAGAAAATTCAAATTTAATGGAGAATGTTTATTTTCATTCGAAATAATATTCTTTGGCACTTATTTTTTGAAGATCATCTCATTCAAATGTTTGCCGCGGCTATGTCTCAGATGGTCCATCCGTTAAGTCGATGAAACGTTCGAGCATTTCGACCGGTAACTGGCGAATGATACGCGTGATGTTTTGCTCCAAGGGCTGAATTGAAGTGGGATTGTCCGCATAGACTTAAGACTTTACATATCCCCATAGGAATAAGTCTAACGGTGTGATATCACACGATCTTGGTGGCCAATTGACCGGCCTAATACGTGAAATTATCTGCTCGCCGAAGTGTTCTCCCAATAAATCCGTTGATTGACGCGATGTGTGGGAAGTGGAGCCATCTTGTTGAAACCAAATGTCGCCGAGATCACGAGCTTTAGTTTCAGGCATCGAAGAGTCGGTTATTATGGCGCGAAAACAGTCGCCATTGACGGTTACGTTCTCACCAACATCATTTTTGAAGATATATGGACCGATGATTCCTCCGGCCTACAAACCACACAAAACCTTGTTTTTTCTGGATGAATCTCTTCAGGTTACTCTTCGTCCCAAATGCGGCAATTTAGCTTGTTTACATTCGAGCGTATCCATTGAGCCAGCCTCAGCGCTGAACAAAATTTGCCTCGAAAACGTTGGGTATTCTTGGAACTTTTCAAGAGCCCATAGAGCCAAGCGGTGTCGGTTGGGAAAGTCGAGTACTCTTTTAACTTAAAATCTTGGCGTAAAATGCTCAAAGTCCTTCCATACGTCAGTCCCAGTTGCTGCACACATTCTTTACAGAACGTGAATTTTCGTGATAAAGTTGAACAATTTGTGAACGTTGTTCAGGCGTAAGTCTTTCCACGATGAAATGCTAAACAATATTGAACAAAAACAATATGACACGACTCACGCGTAATCTGTCAAGAAAAGGCTATTGGAAACAAGTACCTCTACTTAGATGGCCCGTTATAACTAAATCTGAAAAGCTAACCTGCAAACGGTTACTTCGCATTGCAGTTATAAGCTATAGTAATCCGATCTGTAAAAAATTTTCGGGGATTCTATCATTGCCTGAAATTTCAGATCGATAGCTCAAAAACTGATGGACTAGCTCGCGTATATACAGACTCACCAACAGAGAGACAGTATGGCTAAATCGACACAAACTTTATATCAGCGCATAAAACACATATTTTTATTAACAGGTCTTATTTCACCTATTTTTGTAGATGTAGATCATTTAAATCGAGAAGAGCAATTTTTTTCAAAATCCTCTCGTAGTGCAATAACTGCAATTCATCCTTTCTCTTTAAGGATCACTAAACAATTTCCATTTCAAGTTACTGGGAGTCCTGATATTCTACACACCAGGACACGCCATTTTATCATCAGTCCCCACTTTGCTGGCCAGGAATATGTTCTTTTTTTCATATTATAAATGATTTGTGCTCTTTAAATATCAATAAAAAAAACATTTCAAAAAAATGTATAGTAAAAATATGTGTCGTTTTTTTATCTGGCCCAAAAAAGAGCCTAAAATTCGGGGTTCTAAACCAGAATACCCCTTAAACAACGATCTACTGCTTCAACCATCGCATTCTTCAAACTTAAAAAGTCTCTCGTTGTGCAAATATTCGAGTCGAATTAACTTCCTTGTCACGGAAGCTTACATTGAATGACCTCAAGATAATGTATTATTTAATCATGGTAAAGAAGTTGGAATATGGTTGACTAAGTGTATCAAGCTAAAAAGAGACTATGTAGAAAAATTAATCAATGTAAAAAGGTACATCCATCGGAGATCATGGGATTATGTTGAGAATTATTTCTCATTATAAATAGACAATAACTTAGTTCCGACTACATTGAAAAATTTTTCATGAATTTTTTTAATAAAATAGAGCATACTTGCATATATATTAGAATGTCCGATATTTTTCAATTTGATTATTTTTTGCAAACGCCCCTTCAAGATTCAGTTTTTGTCATAAAATAAAGATTTTCTGTTAAATTTTTATAGAGAAATCATAAAAAATACGACAACGGCAGCAATCCCGATGTTTACAGTACGATGTTGAAGTTATGAGAAGCACCGACTTTGAAAACATGAGTTGTTTGGAAAACGCTTTAAAGTTTTGAAATCTGATGTAAAACGTCTATAAGACAGGTGTAAAAATAGTCGTAACGTCACAGTTTTGTTCCAATGGACTTAAAATTTTGAGACAACATTCTTGAGATAATTTTAAGATAAAAAAATTCGAAAGAATGGAACGATCACATTCCTCCTCGCATTGCTCTTTCATATGCTTTTATATTAGTTTTTTGCTTTAATGATTAATTCATCGGAATGATCCGTGCCAGTGCTAGAGTGTTTTTCGCCATTCTTGGAGTCTCAAATCGGTTCTTCAATAATCCGACGAATATCGTTTGATAAGTCTTCGGAAAATTTTCGAACAACATATCCATAAAACCAACAAAACACCAAAATGCATCAACGGGGTCGGACCATAGGGAGAAATATGTTAGATGAGTGGGATTCATTGCACACACAAAGAGGTGATTAGAGTAATGCGGGAACTCGTTGCACGCATGATATATATGATATTTGGTATGTCGGAATTAATTTTGGATAGGTAGGAGTTTAATCTCCTCTACTATGGGTGCTGGTTTAACTTCATACGTCATTCACTGGGGGAGTCACTGAAGGAGTTAATGGCTGTTAATCTGTGAGATATGTATTTCTGAATATAATATGAAGTGTATTTCTGATAATAATATGTCTGTATGTCAAAATACCTTATCGAAATATTTCTGAACTTCCGGTTTACTTCATAGCGCATATATCGGCCAATATGTGAGCTATCTTAATAAAATTAAGCAGATGTATTTTTCTTATAAATCTTTTGTGTCTAACAGCCTTCATAAACTAATCACTGAATTTTCAAACATGCGGTTGATTTTAGTTTATACATGTTGATGATTATATGTGAGGTACTTTAATGAAACTTAGGGAGCAATTTTTCTGTTAGCAATATGTAGTAATGCCAAAAATATATGAAATCGGTTCAATACTACCCCTATCACCACATAATGTACATAAAATGTTTTTTGTTATTTTTACAAACCTTATGACGAATACGTCGGTCAGTGTGAGTTATTTATTTATAATATTGCTTGAAAATATGTTCTCTAATATACCTGCAACAAGGCCAGATCTTTTTCTGCACCCAATATATCTTTTAGAGTGATTTCCAACTTTCCAGCTGACTATAAACCGTTTAGGTTGGTCAAAATGTGCGATATTTTAAAACTAATTGAACTAAAATAATGAATTCCCATCCGCTGGTTGACGTTTTCCACATTATCTCAAAATATTAAATTTACCTCTCCGGTTGGGTTTATGAATATAACATACGTATATCACATTTGAAAATGTTTGACAATAAAACTAAGTGAGTCTATAACCTATAATATAACTTAATAAAATAAGTAAATAATTGTAATCTATTATTGTTGTTGTTGTAGCGGCAGAATTCTACTGAGTTGATTGTAATCTATTCATTTTCGTCGAATAATGAACGTTGAATTATTTCGAAATATTTTTTTATATAAAGTTTTGCCAACACCTGAAGGTATTTAGCCGCATCTGATCCTTGCAGGTTGCAATAGTATAAAATGTTCGGTTACACCTGAACTTAGCCCTTTCTTACTTGTTTATCTTTATATTATTTATAATATAACTCTACCAACTGTTGGTGCATAATTAAAAGCCTACAATATCCAACTAGTTCCCTCCATATAAATTATGTTAATAAATTTCTTTGTAAACATAGTTTTCCAATTCCCACTTTTGAATTTAACTTTTTATATAATAGCGAAGCCTGCAGTATGAAGTATATTAACTCATTATATGTGCCTGAAGCTAAAAGTCATTGCATGATAGTAACTTCTAATCGCTATTACAAAAAATTCATTTCAAATTTTTTATTTATTTTTTTTTTATTTAAGTAGTTCTTATTTTTTTGTTTGCCTTTGCTACTTTCGCCTTCAAAGCTTTAACATCCAATTTTTTATTATCTTCATCAGCCGGTCTTTTACGGCTAGTAGAAGGTCCGTCCTCAGTTGGAGGAATAAAATCTTGGTTACGACGCTCCTCTTGTTTTTTAGCAGCCTCACTCTGTTTCTCATTACGCTCTTGTTGCTTGCGTGCTTGTTTCTGTTCTTTGCTAAGGAAGTATTCACCTGACGCAAGTTGTTTGTCAATTTTACTCTCTGGTTGTGAAGGCGGAAATGGTGTGTATTCTTTTTTGGGTTTCTTAACCTTAGGTTGTTTGCGTTTGCTAATATTTTTGTTCTTGAACTTCGGCAGAAAACGTGACCAGTCTTCATTGGCCAATTTCGGGTCTTTCATAAGTTCACGTTTAATCATCAATGCTTTAATATTATATATAGGATGCACATTGTTCATTGTGTCTAATACAATGTCACGAACCTGCTGTAGACCTTTATAAGGACCGAGTGCTGATACAGTGTTTCCTTGTACTAACACATAACAATCTGTTAGTAACTCAATAGATTTTAGCGTCGCTCCATTGGGTCCAATTAAACGTTGACGTCGCTTAACAAACTTATCTTTCTTGTTTACTAAGTTACCAATTTTTATGATGTCACAGCCGATTTCATCCTGCAAAACTCGTCGCGCTTGTTCGTAGGGTACACTTCGAGCCATTAGCTTTATCATGTCTCTGGCTTTGATGATAATGTATGGATCCCACGTTTTGCGTGTTGTTTTCACCACCATACTTCCCTCCATAAGATCAAGTTCAGCTTTAAGGTGTTGTTCCGCAAGACATTCTTTTACAAGTGGCCATATTTCCTTTAGATATTTTTCTCTATACTTTGGAAACAGTGTCGCAAATGAACTTTCCTCAACCATGCCATTTAAATTATGCTCAGGTTTGAACTCGGGAATTTTTAATGTCCAGGCATTATCCACTGGTTCCGTCGAAATCTTTTTATTTTCTTCAGCTTCACTGTCACTCATTTCGAAGTTTTCTATTAATTTCTAGTTTGTTTATCTGAAATCTTCTCACACGTGTATTTTGTTTTGGTTTATTTTGATGAATTGTGAGTCATTCACAGTAGCATAGCTGATGATTGTAGTAAGGAGCACTTTGATTAAAAATATCGATTGTTATTTCTCTATTTTGATAATTTCACTCTTAACATAAGCGACAGTTGCGGTTTTACAAAAGTCCAAAGATTTAATCTATATTTACACTTGTACAGTCAAAAAAATTATGTAATACTATTATTAAAAAGCTTAAATTCAATTTGTTAAGTTTTTAATTGTATTTCTTACGGTTTTTTTTTAACGACAGGAGAAATACTAAAACTCCATTAAAATTACTCTGTTATCATTGGTATATGACGTTATAGTATCTCTCGAAATAAGTATTGCATTAATTTGATATTATATATAAAAATATGTGTAATATTTCAATAACCAAACCACATAAAAATTTTTAAGTGAAGATGAAACACTCTGTGCTGCATTTTTTGTTAATTCACAATGAACAGTTTTTATATATAAATGTAGATTATTACGATTTGGCAGAGAACTGCCAATTATCAACAATATTTTGTTTTGGCATTTTTATACTATTGCACATGTTGTTACAGAGTATAATAGTTTTGTTGGCCTAACGATTGTTTGTATCACCTAAATATAAACGAGATAGATATAGAGCTATATATATACAGAGAGATCCTTTGACTATTTCAGCTTTTTAACTGCAACGAAGAGTAAAAATATAAGAATCTTATGTATTTTTATAAAAAAAATTAACAACAAATCAATTATGATGTTAACGGTTGCAAAAAATTAAATATCTCACATTTGAGCAACAAAAAAAAACTTTGCACACTTACGTTGGCAACACTTTAAATTCAGTTATCATGCAGGTACCGTTATTTTTGTCTGGTATTATTTGAGTATGGTCAAAATGTATTAATTGATAAGCGAATTTATTGAGTGCGGTTGTAGTTTTTGCAGAAATGGTGAATAAACAAACTACTAAAGATTTACAGTAGTCAGATACTGACAAGAGAACAAAATTACTAGCGAAATAGGCAACATTTTCAAAAAAAAGTTCAGTACATTATTGCTAAATTCAAAAAAACTGGTGGAGTTGGAAGACTTGAAAGGAACACCTCAAAATATCCGCTGTCCCTAACGCCAAGGAGTTGGAGGAAGCTAAAATTGCAAAATCCCACCCTCAAACTGTTCGGATCTTCTTGGTTTCACCTAATTTTAGAGCGTTAACGGTAAATATGTACTTAATGACCCCCACTTCGTAGGGGGTTGGGGTTGTAAGGGGTGACACAATTAAGTGTCCTTTTAATGAATTCGAAGGAATTACCCGTCGGTCACCCCTTAAAAAAAAGGTATGTAGATTACAAATCCGTGAGCGGAAAGTGAATTTTTTCAATAATTTATGTATATTTTTCAATATTTATTACTTTGCACATATCACATATTCAAGTCACTTAGTTGTTGTTGTTGTTGTAGCGGCAAAATTCTGTAGAATTCAGATCTCTTAGCTGTAATTACCAGTTCAGTGTGTTAAACATTTTCTTATGAAAAAAATATACTGAAGAAATGTAATAGTCAAAATTTCTTTTGTGCCGCGTTTTTATGGAATGAATGAATATCGGAGATCGTCGAACTCCTTTCCGCACTGGCGGCCTTCGGCCGCGCTTCAAAAAAATAACCCTGGTCGGTCAAAAACCGGGGTGTTCATTCAATCGCGTCAAAACCCTTTTCGCTGCTGTTTGTGCAGAAAGGAGTTTGACGCGATTGAATTATGAACACCCCGGTTTTTGACCGACCAGGGTTGAATTTGGGAATATGCTGTTTTCACGAAATTTTAACCCTTCATATAATTTTTTTGAAGGTTGATCCACTGAAATTGTATTTCACAGACTCCCTTCACATGCCATCTGCAACCCCAACCCCTTCCGAAGTGGGGGTCATTAAGTACATAATTACCGCGTTTACAAACCAAGCTTATCGAAGAGATATATTGCGAAACGTTTATTACAATTTTGGGATTCTGTAATTTTTACAGATTCGTCCAAATTTGATTTATTAGGATCTGATGGTCAGCAGCTAAACTCTATTTGAATGGTGGTTACTGCTTTATTCAGGATAACGACCCGAAGCATTCTGCTTTAGTGGTAAAGAAATGGTTGTTGTACAAAGGAAAAAGTGCTGCTGTATCCTCTCTAGACTCCATACCTCAATTCCAACCATTGGGATAATGTGGATTCGAAGGTACTAGAGCGCAAAGTTAATAGCAAAATATAAGGTTAAGGCTGCTCTTTAAGAAATATGGCCTGCTGAACTTACACAAAATTTTGTTCAATATGAATTAAAGATTGCAAATCATGATAGAGGGCAAATGTGTGCATGCAAAGTATTAATTTTCCGTCAAAAATGTTAAAATGTCAATTTATGCAAACTGTACCAGTTTTTTTTGGTTTTCGAAAATGGAGTTATTTTGACTTTTTTATTTTTTTGGAAGAAACTGATTTTTTTATTTATAATATTTCAATTATATTAGGTCAAGTAAAAAGTTCGTTCGGTTTATATCTAAGAGATGGCATTATTGTCCATAGTACTAGTGTTACGTGTCGCATCATGTCATACTATACGGCGCTGAAAACATGTTTATTCGCGCTAAAAGTTTGTCTTTGACAGTTTTTCGACTGATTGACTCAGTACGTTGTGAGCGCCCGTCAAAGATGGACACCAGCAAAAATAAAATTCGCTATATTTTACAATTTTTCTTCGATCAAGTCGAAAAAGCAGCCAAAGTGGTTCCGTTCCGGTAATTTCGATGTCAAAGATGCACCACGCGTCGGGAGGCCTGTCGTCGAAAATTGCGATAAAATCATTTAAATAGTGGAAACAGACCGTCACGTGAGCACTTATTTAATTGCTGAGGAACTAAAGATAAGCCAGAAAACCGTTTGGAGCCATTTGCATAACCTTGGATTCAAAAAGAAGCTCGATGTTTGGGTGCCACACGAACTAACGCAAAAAAACATGATGGATCGAATTTCCATCTGCGAATCGCTACTGAATCGCCACAAAATCGACCCGATTCTGAAGCGGATTGTGACTGGCGATGAAAAATTTGTCACTTACAACAACATCGAGCGCAAACGGTCGCGGTAAAAGCTCGGGGAAGCGGCCCAGACGGTGGCCAAGACCGGATTGACGGCCAGGAAGGTTTTGCTGTGTGTTTGGTGGGATTGGCAAGGAATCATCTACTACGAGCTGCTCCCCTATGGCCAAACGCTCAATTCGGCCCTCTACTGCCAACAACTGGACCGCTTGAAGGCAGCACTCATCCAGAAGAGGCCATCTTTGATCAACAGAGACCGAATTGTGTTCCATCAGGACAACGCCAGGCCACACACGTCTTTGGTGACGCGCCAGAAGCTCCGGGAGCTCGGATGGGAGGTCCTAATGCACCACCGGACCTAGCACCAAGTGATTACCCTCTTTTCCTGTCCATGGCGAACGCGCTTAATAGTGAGAAGTTGGCCTCAAGAGAGACCTGTGAAAATTGGCTCTCCGAGTTTTTTGCCAATAGGGACAACAAAAAGGCGCATATTTGACTTAAATCGGACAAATATACACAAAGTTATCATCTTTTAAAAAATCAATAAAAAACCGAACGAAATTTTTACTTCATCTAATATTATGACAATTAATAAAATAAGTTTTCCTCACTTTTGGATGCAACTCAAAAGTTTTGATAGTTTAGGAGTTAAGTCACTTCAAAGCCAAACCGACTCCGTATATTGGTTTTTTTTTCGGTTCACTGTATATAAAAATGATCAGGCTGACGAAACGAGTTCAAATCCCGGTGACTGTCTGTCTGTCCGTTCGTCGTAGCTGCTACTTGATTAAAAATTAAGATATATATCTTGATAAAACTTGGTACACACATTTTGTGGCACCGTAAGAATTTCGGTATTGTGGATGGACGTAATCGGACCCATAACACGCCCAAAAAACGTCATTAATTGAAAACTTGTAAAATAATTAAGATACAAAACTTTGGTACAACGAATCGCATTAGGGAGGGGCTCCTGTGGTTTGAAAATCTTTAAAAAAATCTTATCTCTTGGATTATAACCCCGCCCACTCCCCATACAACGGTTTTGTTAAGAACTACTATAAGTGCGATAAATCAATAATAAATGCGTCAGAGACATTTAATTTTACATTCGGGATGGTATGAGAGGTCTATAGGAGCCGGTGACAAAATTGGATTATTTTCGTGCCACCGCCCATCTTTCGGTGGAATCACATATCTCCGGTCCTTCTCAACTAACTTTAACCAAATTCGGTAGGTAACAATATCCTGACATTCCTATGTTACAGTCTGAATATTTTCAATTCTATCTGATTCCCTCACTTTCTAGTATGCAAATCAAACTCCATTAAATATATCGGGATAAAAAATAGTGTATTTAAGGAATGCCATCTCGAGTCTAAAAATGTCATGATTGGACTATAACTGTTCAATCTCCTAGACATGAAATACGTTTCGATTGATAAATTTTGATCGAAAATATCGGTCAATCTGTGAGATATATTATGGAAATCGAAGAGAATTATTTTCTGATAATAGTTTGCGTTTATTTCGAAAAAGTGTTAAATCGGGTCCATACTTCCCATGTATGTAACTAATGTAATTTTCGAGCGAGTTTTTTGAGAGAGTCTCTTTCTAATAACAGTGTATCTTTGGAACTATAACTAATATACTAATATAACCCATACCTATAACTAATTTTCAAGCATTCGGCTGACTTTACTCCATATATGTACAATATATTGGAGTTGGTATGTGAGGTACCTTAATAAAACTCATTGAACATCTTTTTCTGTTAATAATATGTGATGCTAAAAGTAGATAAAATTAGGTAAATATTACCCCTATGTACCATATACCTAGCAAAAGATTCTCAAACTTCTGTTTGGACTTACACATCGATCAATAGGTAAGATATCTTAAAAAATTACTTGAACGTAAAACGTTGGATATTGTATATTATAGTTCAATGCCAAAAATATGTGAATTTAGTCTACAAATTACCCCCAAATCCCAAATATTATACTATATTATACAACATTTTTATAATGATTTCATTATATTTTATTTTTAAAAACTCTATGCCGAATATGTCGATAAGTGTTCGAGTTATATACATATAAATATATAAAATTGCTTGAAAATATGTTCTCAAGTATACCTGAGCAATGTCCAAATTAATGCAATCAGCCCGTAATTCTATTCTCATTAAAAAACAATTTCCAACTTTCCACCTGACTTTAAATCGTTTAGATTGGTCAAAATATGTAATATTTTAAAGTTATGTAGACA